TAACCATAGTGCCCTTGTCAATCTTAGGGGCGTGGAGGAGGGGCCGCTTGCCAGCACCTCACCGATACGTCCCCAAAAATCGTCAAGTCCTGGACTGTGCATTGCCACTTCTCTTTCCAGGGAACCGCCAGCCTTTCGCCGCCGGACTCTGAAACATAACCATATTTGGTTCTTGGGGGGTGGATAAAACAACGGCCCTCCATCCGAGTACTTGCTGGAATGCTATGACGGCGAATGCTCGAGTGTTGCTAAAAATGCCCCTTGCCCGAGGTGCCCCTCGCTTTTCGGCCCATGTTGGAGTCCCTGGGGCCTTCTGGGCCTCGTGCGGGGTTCTCTGGAGGCCGTGGAGGCCTCCTTGGAAATCCTGGGGGCACCTTGGGCCAGGGGCACTTCCAGGAACACCCGAAATGCGCGCGGCGCAAGGCCGAAGCCGCCTCTCCTCCAGCCGTGTGGCCGTTGGGAGCGCAGGCTTCTCGAGCCTGTGCGCTCGGCCCGCCCCACCGACGCGCCTGGTGGTGCGAGAGGGGGGAGCTGTGGGCACCGACGAGGGGCCGAGGGATGAGGAGAGCGAGGAGGACGAGGAGGGGGACGCGGAGGAGGAGGTCTCTTCTCATCTACGCCTACGCCCTCGTGAGCACCTCTTCTTTCACCGATTTCATTGGACCTTCATGCTTGTCTGCACTTCTTGCTGCCTTGCGTTGCTGAGCGCTCTGTCCAAGTCGCTTTTCCACCAGCGGAACGCAACAGCTTTGGTGATCATGCTTGTCCAACAAAAAAGGAGGAGGCGGAGGAGGGAGCGGAGGGATGAGGAGGAGCAGGAAGAGTGGGAGGGTACTCCGCAGCACGCTCCTGTCCATGCTGGATATCTGGCCATGTCGTAATATTGACGTTGATGGGTGATTCGATGATCGGGCAGATTTGGGGTGGCCAACTGAGGCCGAGCCTTCGAGCGGAGGACTCGACGGGTCAAACTGATTGCCCAAACCCCCAAGCCGCATGATTTCGCCGCGGCCCCGCATTCCTGCAGCGACCGTTTCCGCGCTCGATGTTGCGCGGTGCGTTGAGCAGTGGGTTGCGCGGAGGGTTGCGCGGTCGATTGCGGAGTAGGTTGCGCGGTGCGCGGTGGGTTGGGCGATTGGTGGCATATACTTCGAAACCAAACAACTATACCCCCAAACATCGCACCAGCTAGCACCCCGTATTGCGCCCCCCCCCCAAAAAAAAAAATATGTTTCACTCCGTGATTGCACCTTATAGATTGCATCACAGAGGTTGCACCCAAATTTCGCACCCCATAGATTGCACCACACATCTGGCACCCATATCCTCTTTTTCCATACGGAGATTGAGCGCCCCCCCCCCCTCCCCAGGCCAGGCTTAACGATACCCTTCCGCGTAGTGTTGTATTCTTCATTTGTATTGGGCACGGCCGCTCAGTTTCCATACATTCTCCATATGAGATCATACAGTCCCAGCTAGGCTGGCATCGACTTCCCCGCCGCCCCTATCAAATAGTAGATTGCCGTGAGCACGCGTTGATCAATCAAGCGCGTTTGGCGAGAACTCTTTTCAAATACTGCACTGCGGGCCACACGTCAGCCCCCCCCCAGTGCGAGCAGGCCGAAGCCAGTCTGAACCGATTTCCTTGTTCTCGACGTGTGTGCTGCATGACCACTCGTTCTAGCCAACAAATGACAGCCGCGGAGTTGTCGCATCCCCCCTCCTCATTCATCCTTGTCAGCTAGCAGAGTGCGGTGCGCTCGCGTTGATATGCCAAGCGCATGCTGCCAGAACCCTCATCAAATAGTACCATGCGGGGCACATGCGCCCCCCCCCCCAAGATGCGAGAATCGTGGAAACGTTTTTTCCCAGAATGCCCAGCATGTGCACATGCAAAGACTATGGAAGCACACTGGTTTGTCCAACCAACTGTTGCCAGCTTTCTGCGAGCGCACACTCGCTTATGGCATCGGTGCTTAGCCACTTTGCCAGATTAGACCATGCGCGCGCAAGTCGAAAACATTCAACAATCAGCGCGCACCCGTCAACTCGGTCAAATGATACCATGCGGGCTAGGCGCGTGCGCCTTCGCGCCCGCGCGCACGTCGAGTCGCTTCCGAAACCATCGGTGTTTTAAGCATTTTTGAAATCGAGTGGTACTCCGAGAAGAAAGCTGTCAGCGTTGCTGAACTTCTGCGCGCGCGCCTGTTCTCCTCCTCCTCCTCCTCATCATCGTCATCATTACCACCATTATCATCATAACCATTATCATCATCATCATCATCATCATCATCATCATCATCATCATCATCATCATCATTATCATCATTATCATTATCATTATCATCATCATCATCATCATCATCATCATCCAAGGGGCAGTATGAGCAGGGAGCTCCTGTTCCAAAAAGACGCGGGGATCACCATCAGCAGCATCGTCATCATCATTACCAGCAGCATCGCTATCATATGTTATCATCATCGCCAGCGTCACCATTGCCGCCGGTATCGCAATCAGTTTCACCACACATCACCATCGTCGTCGCCATCACCCCCACCGTCGGCATCAACATGATCGTCACCGTCATCGTCGTTGCCGTCTCCCTCGGCACCATCTTTATCATTACCGCCTGCCTCATCATTGGCAGCGTTATCGAAATCGCCTTCATCACAGATCACCATCGTCGTCGTCACCCCAACCGTCGTCATCAACATCATCGTCATCGTCGTTGTCGTTTCCCTGGGCACCATCGTTACCACCATCGCCAGCGTCATCAGCCCACCGTCATCACCACCGGCCTTGTCACCATAACAGTCGTGGTCATCATTCTCGCCGTCGCCGTCGGCAAACAACATAATCATTGTCATCGTCATCTTCATTGTCGTCGCGCTCGTCGTCAGTGCCACCATCATCACTATAATCAGCAGTGCTCGCCCGCCCGAGCCATGGATCTGCATCAAAATGGCACTCGCGTCAATACGCCAGTTGAATTTTCCCAACAAGTTGCGGGTAGGTGGGGGGATATTTGCACGATGATTGGAGGCGGTCTCTCGCAGATGACAGCAAGGTGAAGACCACCTCATATATTGCACCCCATCGGTTGCACATCACTGTTTGTGGTCCGCACGCTGCTACCTTTTTAAGGTCCACCTTGACATGATACCCTGATTGGGGTCGCGCTGTGTTGATTCTCTCTTGTACCGTTGCTTTTCGACTTGATTTGCGACTGCGCCCTGCCAAGACAGGTATGCGCTCGTCGCTCTGCTTATGGAAATCTTGGGGAACTTGGACATAAAGGTGAAGCAGGTGTGCGTGAACGTGAAGCATCTGCTCGCCGCGTGCAAAGTCTGTGTGAGACCTGCGTGGAACGCGTGCTCACCATACTGCAAGGGCCTCACGTCCGGTCCCGTCGACCCTGGAGCGGGAACAGCTCGGGCGCAAGATGCGGAAGGGGGACGGGGGCAAGAGGGGGCAAGTGAGAAGGCGTCGGGACTGGGGGTGGGGGTGGGTGTTCGCCTTCTCAGCAAGGGGCAGTGGCTGCTTTTATGAGGGGACGGGAATTATAATGGTCCTCGGCTAAACCCGCCACTGCGCCCTGGTCGTGCTCCAGAGGTTTCGGAACATGTTTGGGGGATCGTTGGAGGTTTCTCGGGGGGCTCCCGGTTCTTCTATGGCCCGCGTGGGAGCGTATGGGAGTCTCTGGTGGACCTCTTGGGGATCTTGGGATCATGTTGGACGGGTTTGCTTCCAGCGGTGCGACATTGGCGTGCGTTTTGTGGACCTTGGGCGCCTCTTGGGCTGCTCTTGGGGGACTCTTGGGCCGTCCTGGACGCTCCTGCGCCCGATGCGGCGAGAACGTCGATATCACGCAAACGCCTGTCTGCCACTCCGCCAATTTGGGCCTCTTGGGCCAGCCCCAGGACCTCCAAGACGGCCCGCGGGACTGCCAAGAGTGCCGAGGTTGACCCTAAAAATGGTTATCTCCTAAATGAAATCTCTGATTGGGGAGCCCTTTTCTCGCGGCTGGGCCCTCCCGCCCAGTTTCGGGAGGTCCCAGTTGGATTTTCACCCCAGAACCGTTCCAGTGTGAAAATCCATCTGGGACCCTCCCCCAGCGCAAAACGGCGCTCTCGGGGATAGCCCGACAGGGCTCTGGCGCTCCCAGATTGGCCCACAGATGGCCAGACGGCGCACAAGATCGCCCCGGTCGCTCGAGGGAGGGCGGCGGCGAGGAAGCGCACCCCTTTGTGAGCCCCCCCGACCCCCCCTTGCCGTTGGGGAGGGGATCAAAGAGAAGGGGCCTCCCTTCGGCTCGGCTGCGACCTGGGTCGATTCACCTCGGGCTGGCGAGCTTGGGGAGCCCCAGGTGGCCGCAGGGAAATGGGGGATGGAAGAGCTTCGATTGGAGAACCGTCTCCCAGGACCTTCCCTGGACGACCTCCCAGGGCTCCCCTTCACACACGCCGACAGGATCGGCGGATTTTGTGGAACACGAGTGGAACGTTCGTGAAGAGTTCGCGCGTCACGTGTGTGCTCCAGTTTGGGCGCAATTGGCGGACATCGTGTGGCACGAGCGTGTTCCTATGAGGAATAACAGTTCCGCGAAGCGGTGCGTTTCTCGGAGGGCGAGGTCCTCGGAAATACCTTGTTTGTAGGGCCCCAGCGCGCCAGAGCCAGAGCCGAAAATAGGCTCTGAGCCCTCGGGAGACACCCCGGAACGGTTGTTGCTAGAGTTGGGCTCTGGCCCACTGTGGCCCCGGCTTCTCCAGGGAGGCCCGGATGGCCTCCAGACTGCCCTTTGCGAGGCCTGGAGGGCCCGAGGGGCTGCAGAGTGGCGCGAAAAACGTCGGGGACGCCGCGGGCCGGGACTGCCCCTGAGCAGGGCCCATTTCGATCCGCCCGATCCGATTCGATGCCGATGTTGGCCCGCTGAATCCGAGTCGACGCCGATGTTCTGACGATTCGATGCGGCCCGCTGCCTGCATGGCGCCGTTGTGCATCCTGGCGCGGCCGATTCGATTCGGTTCGATTCTGGATGCGTGCCAGTGCGATCTGGTCCGACGCACGTTCCGATTCGGTTCGATTTGCCGACTCGATGCTGACTGATCCTGCCCCTGGAATTCGTCGACCAGGGTAGCCGAGGAACGTCGGCCCTCGCGAGACGATGCCCTCCGACGCGCCCGCCGCGTGCCGATCGCGACCGTGGAGGCTCTGCGGGAGGCCACATCGCAGGGGCCAGCAGCCCACGCGGGGGGGGGGGGCGCCACTGGGGCCAGGATCCCCCTCCCTCGTCCTGCTGACCCTCCGGGGGCTGCGCTGGCGCTCACTGTCTCGGCTGCATGAAGAGGAGGAGGAGGAGGAGGAGGAGGAGGAGGAGGAGGAGGAGGAGGAGGAGGAGGAGAAAGAAAGGGGGAGGAGGAGGAGGAGGAGGAGGAGGAGGAGGAGGAGGGAGGAGGAGGAGGAGGAGAAGGAGGAGCAGCCAGTAGCAGCAGCAGCAGCAGCAGCAGCAGCAGCAGCAGCAGCAGCAGCAGCAGCAGCAGCAGGATCAGGAGCAGGAGCAGGAGCAGGAGCAGGAGCAGTGCCCCTCCTCGCCCTCTGCTGCGAGGGCACCCCGTCCGCTCGCGCCACCGCGGAGGCGGGGCGCTCTTGCGCGCGCGCGTGCGCTTCTGCGCGCGTGGCCTGCGCGCCGAGCACGCGATCCGCGGGCCGCCCGGCTCCGCAGGAGGGCCGTGCTGGGGCCCGCCCACCCGCAGACCCTCGGCTCTGCGAACGACCTCTCGCGGCTCCTGCGTGCGACGGGGCAGCTCGAGGAGGCGGAGGGGCTGTCGCAGGCCGCCTACGAGGCGGCCGGGCGGGGCGGGCGGGAGGGGAGGAGCCGCGCGGAGGTCTTGAGGAGCCTCGGCCGGCGGCGGCCGAGGGGGGGGGGAAGGGAGAAGGAGAAGGCCCTCTCAGAAGGCGGAGGGCCTTCACAGAAGCCCCCTCTGGCCTTCTGAGAGGTTTTGTGTGTCTTCGGGGAAGGCGTAGAGATATTCTCAGAAGGCCAGGGAACTTCCGAGCCTTCTGAGAAGGCCCGCCCCGTCTCACTTCCCCGCGGGCGCGCCGCCTACTCGGGGAAGAATCGAGGAAGCGACGGGAAGCGCAAACGTGGATTGGCGACGCGTGGGTTTGAGGTCAGGAACTTTGCCTTAGCGTGTCTCTCCTCTGCGCGACACGCTGTATCCGTTTCCCAGTCCCCAGGCGTCCACGTCCCGAGCCTTTCCGAGCTTCCCGCCCCGCGGAGCGGAGCGACACGCTACCCTGTTGCAGGGCATTGCGTGTCGCCGGGGCAGGCGCGGCACGCTGAGTGAAAGTCCCCGACCGTAGCGATGCGTGGACTAGCGACGGGTCCCCCTTTCCACGCGTAGTCGGCGCGCTGCGTCGCCAAATCAGACGGCACTGGCGCCATGTTTCGGGGGTCTGACAGCGCATTCTTCGTGGACTGCCGGGGGGGGCCTCTGGGAGCTTCAGGCAGGCCTTCCGCAGACCACTCCAGGGGGGGGGGGGGGGCGCCAGGGCACGATGATGAGCGCGGCTCGCGCGGCGCGAGGCGCGAAGCTGGGTGACGAAGGGACTGGAGCAGGGGGCCAAGGAGGAGATCCGCCGCCAGAACACGTCCGTGTCCACTGGTCTGGAGTTGTGCACCTGGGCCCCGGGGAGTGCGGTGGCAGGCAGCATGGGCATCTACAGGCTCACGAGAGCGGGTGCGTACATGTCCACCACTCCCCAGTGGTTTGGGGTGGGGAGGAGACTCCAGAAGCTGCGGATGCGGACGCCCCTCGAGGATGCAGGAGGCGCATCAGGAGACCTACACGTCTCACCAGAGAAGAAATAACCACCACCACCACCACCATAATCACCACCACCACCACCAGCTTGGGGAGGGGCCTTTGGGAGCGGGGTTTTATGAAGTTCTGGTGGTGGTGGCTCTTCGATTCTTGCTCTCATGAACATCTGCGCCTGGCCGCACCCTCGTAGCATGGGGGAAACGGGTCCTGAGGGAAGCGGGTCCTGGACAAAACCTCACGAGCCGTTTTCCCCCATGGCGAAACTCTGCCTCCTTCCCCGTGCTCGGCGCATGCCCTGCGCGGTCCTGGGGCTGGCAGGTGCCGCAGGGCACTCGGCGGCGGCCCCCCGCGCCACAGATCTCCACGGTCGGCGGGCGGCGCCGAGGGCGGGAGCGAGATTCAGGGGCGGCCCAACCAACCTCTGGCAAGCCCTCCCCTTCCGTGGCGCCCACCTCGCCTCGCCCCGAGGCGCATGTCCTCCTCCTTCTCCTCCTCCTCCTCCTCCTCCTCCTCCGCTTCCGGCAGGCGCACTCCTCTGGAGGCGCCTCGATCACGGCTTCTCACTCGAGGGGGGAAGAGAAGTGGAGGGGGGACTTGTGGCTTCCCCCCTCGGCGCGCCGCAGCTCCGCGGAGAACGGAAGCTCTGCGCCAGGGCTCGGACCAAAAGGCGGTTTAGCGATCTCGTGAGCCGTGCTCGTGCCAATTTCGTTTCGCAGCAGCGGGCGGGGCGACGACAGAACGAGGGAACGCGAGCATAAAACGAGCTCGGAAAGCATCGTGCAGCTCGGGCCCTGATATGCGCGCCAGGCCCGCGAGGCGGTCCGGGCCGGGCTTCTCCCTGGCCCGAGGTGGGGCCGGCCAGCGGGCGCGGCCCCGCCCTGCGAGGCCAGCGAGGCGGCACTGGGGCCGCACCACCCGCACACGCTGACGTACCTGGACAACCTCGCGCTGCTGAAGGGCAGCTTGGGCAAGCGCGTGGAGGCGGAGGCCCTCCACCGCCGCGCCGTGGAGGGCAAGGAGCGCGGGGGGGGGCGGCGGGCCCGGGCGCCAAGGGGGGCCCGAGGCCAGCCCGCGGGGATGGAGGGGGGCAGGGGGCGCGTTGAGGGGGAGAGGTGGCGGGGAGGTGGGGGGAGGGGGAGGGAGAGGAGAAGAGGCGGAGGGGAAGAGGAGGGCGGAGAGGAGGAGGAGGAGGAGGAGGAGGAGGAGGAGGAGGAGGAGGAGGAGGAGGAGGAGGAGGAGGAGGAGGGGAAACCTCCCCCACGCACGGTGGAAACCCTTCATGCAGCCACCAGTTCTACGCTTGGGTACCTCACGCCTGCCTCGGCGGGTGATGGTCTCCATCGTGGGACTGTGGGCTGGGTGAGAGGCTTCCTATGGGGAGGGAGAGGGGCCGTTGAGCGAGAGAGAGAGAGAGAGAGGGAGGAGGAGGAGGAGGAGGAGGAGGAGGAGGAGGAGGAGGAGGAGGAGGACAAGTACAAACCCAAGACTCATCAACGATGTTGGAATTACGCTACCGAGGAACCCCACATACTTATATCATGGCTGGAGTGATGATAGCTGAAGTGAAGCATGTGAGAATGATGTTCGTGGCCGTTGCCCCGCCGATACCGTTGGTGACGCCAGTCAAGAGGAGAGGAGGGAGGAGAGTGGAGAGGAGATCAGATAAGTTGTTGTTCGATACACATGGAAAGCGATCTGCGGCGCCCACGAGGCAACGAACACTATGGAACGCGATCTTCGGCGGAAAGCCTCTGATCAGATCTGAGAGAATGACACATGCGAAGGAACGCAACCTTCGGCGAAAAGCTTCTGGCCGCGTCCAAGAGATAATCAAACACGGAACGCTGCCTTCGGCAGAAAGCCTCTGACCGCGCCTCAAGCCAATGCAACATATGACAAATCGCCTCGACAGGCGGTTGCGGTAGCAGTAAAACGCAATCAGAATTCCATGAACACATCGGTGGCCCCTGTCGCAGGGCCCAGCCGAATGACCGACTATCCGTGACTCGCACTTGGGCCCTCGTCACAGGAGGCGCGCGTTCTGGATCGGCATCTGGCGCTGCGCCGGGGACAGCGTCGGGTACGGGCGGGGCTATCGCAGGGATGCCTCCGCGGGCGGGGTGGCGGAACAACGGCATGTGTTGTTGAATGGCAGCGCGCTGGATGTACGGCTGGCGCGCCACGTCGTCTGTGAATGGACCCAGCCGGCTGCGCCATATAGTACAGCCACCGCCTGTCCCAACCAGGGAGCCATAACCCAATCATGGACAGCAGCTTGTGGTCGTACACGACGAGATCGAAAGAAAGGTACGAGAGAAGCTCATGCTCTTGATCGTTCATTCGCAAGTGGGAGAAGGCGGATGACAAGGGAGCTCGAGCCGCAGTGGGCTTGATCGTTCCAGAGGAGGCGGAGGAAACGGGGAGGAGGGGGGGGGACGAGGGTGGAGGAGATGGGCATAGAGGAAGGTGCAGGAACGACTGGCTCGGATAGCGGCCGTGTTCAGAGACCACCACCTGCGGACCCCGAAGGTTGCGAGAATATGCCACGCCTGCTATGCCCTGGACGACAGGCTCGGACAGCGGCCGCGCTCAGAGACGACGCCCGGCGCACCCCCCTTATGGCGTCGAGAAAGTGCCACGTCTGCTATGCCCAGGACGACTGGCTCGGATAGCGGCCGCGCTCAGAGACCACGCCCTACGCACCCCGTATGGTGTCGAGAATATGTCACGCCCGCTATGCCCTCGAGGACCCGCTCGGATAGCGGCCGCGTTCAGAGACCACCCCCTGCGCACCCCGTAAGGTGTGGAGAAAGCGCCAAGCCTGCTACGCCCTGGACGATGGGCTCGGACAGCGGCCGCGCTCAGAGACCACCCCCTGCGCACCCCCCTATGGCGTCGAGAAAATGCCACGCTTGCTATGCCCCAGACGACTGGCTCGGATAGCGGCCGCGCTCAGAGACCACCCCCTGCGCACCCCTACGGTGTCGAGAAAATGCCACGCCTGGTACGCCTTGGACGACCAGCTCGGATAGCGGCCGCGCTCAGAGACCACGCCCTACGCACTCCCCATGGCGTCGAGAATCTGTCACGCCTGCTTTGCGCTGGACGACAGGCTCGGATAGCGGCCGCGCTCAGAGACCATGCGTGCCTTACCCCCCCCCATATGGTGTCGAGAAAGTGCCACGCCTGCTATGCCCAGGGCGACTGGCTCGGATAGCGGCCGCGCTCAGAGACCACCCCCTGCGCACCCCCTGTGGTGTCGAGAATATGCACCGCCTGCCACGCTTCGCGAGCCCGCAAAGGAGATGAGTGAGCTTCGCGGGTGGGACGCGGGAGGGAAAAAAAAACAGAACCCCACGAAACATGTGGGGAGTAAACCCTCCATCCAAGCTCCCTCTGCAGAAGCCCGTGCAAGGCTCATCTCCATCAGGGGAAAGTGCACTGTACCGTTGGAAGATCCTCAAGCGTGCCAAACACCACGTTCGGATCTTCAACTCCACGAATCAACGTGACTGCTGCGCCTTGACGATCCCGAATCGTACCATAACGCCATTCCTGAGATTTCAATACCGCGAATGATCACAACTGTTGCGCCCTGACAATCCGGAATCGTTCCAAAAGTCCAGTTTGGGTACGCTAACCGTGGGAATCCGTGAAACCATTGCAATATCTTAGCAATAATGCGCGCGGCGCTAAGGCGAGAACCACATTTTAAAAAAAGAACCACCCTCGCACGGTCCGTGAAGCCCTTGCAAACTTGTGAAACGAATGTGCGCGGCGTTGAGACGAGAACCACATTTTGAAAACGGCCCGTGTGCAATCCGTGAAGCTCTTACAATTCGCTCAGACAAATGTGCGCGGCGCTATGGCGAGAACCACATTTTGAAAAGGACCCGCCTTCGATCCGTGATGGTCCTGCACTGTTTAAGACGAATGTGCGCGGCTCTAAGGCAAGAGCCACATTTTGAAAGCGGCCCGCCCTCAATCCGTAAAGCCCTTACACATGTTGAAGACAAATGTGCTCGGCGATACGGCGAGAACCACATTTTGAAAACCGTCCGCCCTCCATCCGCGAAGCTGTTGCCAACTTCTCTGCTTCAGGACCATAGATGGTGAGGGAGTCTCACGCGAAACGCTCGGCCCGCCCTTCCGACTGGCTTCGGGGTGCGACAGGGAGGCGTTATTTATAAGGAAATTGAGAGGAGGAGGAGGAGGAGGAGGAGGAGGAGGAGGAGGAGGAGGAGGAGGAGGAGGAGGAGGAGGAGGAGGAGGCTCAAGTCGCGTGCAGCCGTTGCCCGGCAAGGCCCTCCTTCCTCACCCGCTCATCAACTCTCACCCATTTCGCCTTCCTCCCCCAACCCTCGAGCCATGGAGGAGGACGTGGAGATGCTGGATGCCGCCAGGCGGGGTCTGGATCAGGAGATGCAGGGCGGGGGCGGAGCGGCCGTTGCCGCGCCTCCCGGAGCAGCCCAACTGGCTGTGCACCTGGCGCCGCTGCTGCCCCGGGTGGCGGTGCCGGCGCCGCGTCTGCTGCCGCCGCGGCTGCGCCGCCCGCCGCTGCTGCGGGGCGCTTCCCCCAGGGTGCGTGCTTGGGTGGCCAGCCGGCAGGCTCCTCGGTCGGAAGCGCGCGGCGGCATCCTGCGCGCGGTGCTCGGGATTCAAGCCAGGGGCAGTGCTCCTTGCGAGCCGGGCAAACCCAGACTGGCACTTCCGCCACCAAGCACGCATCGCTGGCGGCGTGCCCTTGGGTTCGGCGGAGGGCTCGGCGGCGCTGCCAGAGGAGGCTCGCGTGGGAACTTCGCTTGCACGGCGCCTCTGCCGGGGGCGGCCGCGAGCGAAGAGGACGACGCGCCCGCCAACGACGTCCGCTCGCGGCACACGCTGGCAGCGGAAACGGGCGAGTTCCCGAGGCTGGAGTGGCGGGCCGACTTCGACTTGAACGGTGCCTTGCGGGTGCCCACGTGGACGGCGACGCCCCCGACCCTCGTCGCGGCGGTCGCGGATGTGCTCGCCGCGGCGTTGCGCGCCGTCGCGGCGCACCCCATGAGCGAGGCGGCGCGGGCCCTGCTGCCCCTGCTCCCGAGGCTGCTGTTCGCGGCGCCCCCCGCCAGCGGCAGTGGCGAGCGGCCGTCGGCCTCGAAGGTGCTGCCACGCCGCCTTCGCCAGGCTTGGGCGGGAGACTGGGTGGCACTGCGGGCCGCGACCGCGCGACCCGGGGAACCAGAAGAAGAGCTTGGTGCATCGTGAGCCGGAGGAGGTGGCTCGACGGGCGCGCGAGCTCATCGTGCTCGGGGAGTTGGGCCGCGCGGCTGCGGCGGCCGCTGGGCCTGGCAAGCTGGCGCGCGGGCCCGAGGTGGCCCGCGACCTGGCCGCCCTCTTCCTGGAGGCGACCGCCGGGGCCCGCGCGCAGGTGAAACGGGCCCTCCTCGCCGGGCGGCTGCTGCCGCTGCGGAAGCCCGGGGGCGGCGCGCGCGGCCGCTTGCCCGCGGCGAGACGCCGCGCAGGATAGCGGCCACGACGGCGCGGCGGCTCACAAAGAAGCCATCGCCACGGCAGCGGGGCGCCACCAGTTTGGCGTTGGCCACAAGAACGGGACCGAGCTGATGCACCGCATCGCGGCGACCGCGCTGGAGAGGGACCTGGGCGCCGCCATGCTTTCCCTCGACGTTGCCAGCGCGTTCGACGAGCTCTGCGAGGGCACCCTGCTGCGGGGCGTCTCCGGCCGCCTGCCGGAGCTGGCGCGGCTCGCGGCGGCGCGGCGCGGCGGCGCCACCCCGCGCGGAGCGCGCCTTCCGGGGGCCAGGGCGGCGCCGGTCACAGCGCAGCGCGGGGTGGGCCGGAGTTGCCCCATCTCCCTTGCGTTCTTCGCGGTGGCGATGGCGACGCTCTACGAGTGCCTGGAGACGGCGGCGCGCCGCGCGGACCCGCGACCAGGGCGGTGGCCTACCTCGTGAGCGCCCCGCGCGCACTGGCAGCAGCCGTCCTCGCCGCGCCGGGGCTCTTCTCGGCGCGGGGCCTCCGCGTGAACCCACGAAAGACGCGAGGCGTGGAACCCGCGCGCCCTGCAGCTCCCCGGGCCGCTGGCCAGAGGTGCCCGAGCTCGCGCGCGCGCGCCGCGCGCGCGCCGCGCCGCGGGGGTAGCGCCGGGCGCCGACCCTGCGCGGACGAGCTTTTCGCCGGCTGCCGCCCCGCAGGCAGCCCGGGACCGCCTCGACGCTTACCTCGCGGCCCTCCGCCAGCTCCGAGAGCGCGGGCTGCGCGCCCACGACGAGCTCGCGGTGCTCCGCACCTTCGCCAACGGCGGCCCCGCACCGCGCGAGCGCGCCTGTTTGATGAGGCGCGTTTCCAGGGGGCGCTCATGCAGGAACTCCCCGCCCTCGCGCGCGACCTGGTCCTCCTGCCCCTCGCCGCTGGCGGGCTCGGCCTCCAGGGTCTCGCGCGCAGGAGGCTGCCGGCCTTTGCGGGGGCTTGGCAGGCGCGTCTGGCCGGCGTCAGCAGGGAGCTCGGCCTGGCCAGCCTCGAGGCCTTCCAGCAGGCTTGCCCGACGGCGTGGGGGGAGACCGAGGGCGCGGGCCGCGCGCTCCAGGCGCGCGGCGCGGACTGGCTCTGCGCCGCCGCGGAGCCGAGGGCCAAGGCGCAGCGGGTCCTCGCGGCGCCAGCGCGCGCGCCGGCAGCGGCCCTCGGGCGCCCTGCCGCCGAACCGCGCAGCGCAGCTCCGCTCGGCCAGCTGGCAGGGCGCGGGAAGCTGGCTCCTGCCGCCGACGAAGGAGGACCGCGTCATGGCGGACGCGCACTTCCTTCCAGCCCCGGCGCTGCGCAGCTCCCTGCGCCCGCGGGCGCCGGCGCCGCCTGCCTCCAGCGCCAGGAGGGCGGCGCGCTCATGCGGGGCAGACCTGGCCGCGACGCCGGGGCGCTGCCTGGGCTGCCACGTCGGCGGCGGCACGAGTCGACGGGCTCGCCCGCTAGCCTCTAGCTGCAGGCCCGGGGCGCGACAGGCGCGGGCGCGGAGCAGTTCGCGCCCGCCTGGGGTCGGACTCGGGCGGGCGGCTTTGTCGACGCAGCCCGGCGCGTCCTTCGGCGACGTGGCGGCCGCAGACGCCGCCCTGGGCGCGGGCGCGCCAGCGGGCCGGAGCCGCGCCGTCGTGGGGGACGGCGCTGCCGCGGCGGGCTATAGCACAGGCGCTACCCGGGCCAGGCTCTCGCGGCCTTCGCGCTGGGGCGCGCTGGGGCGGAGGCGGCCGCGCTCCTCCGCACTTGGGCGCACGGCGACGCCGCCGTGCTGGCGGCGGCTCGCCAGAGCGTCGCGGCGACGCGCGTCGGGCGACGCGCCGCGGGGCATGCGGCGCCGAGCCGGCGGCCCGCCGCGCGCGCGCGAGCAGAGCGCGGGGGCGCGGGCCTGGCTGAACTGGGCGGCTAGCGCTGGGGGCGCGGGCTGAGCGGCTGGCCAGGGCTCGGGCGCCGCCGCGCCGCGGGCGCTGGGCGCGCGCCGAGGCGGCCGGGCCATGGCGGCGGCGGCGACGGCGCCAGCGGCGTTGGCGTTGGGCGGCCAGGCGCGGCGCAGCGCAGCGCCGCTGGCGGCAGCGCGGCCGCGGCTCGGAGGTGGGGCGGCAAGGGCGCGGCAGCGCGGGGGCCAGCTGACCCCAGGCGCTGCTGAGGAGCTCGGCGGCGGCGGCGGCGGCCGGCGCAGCGGCGACGGCTGGCTGGCTGGCCGCCCACAGGGGGCTCACGGCGCCGCCCTACCGGGTCGTGCCTGCCGAGCTCCCGCGTAGCGGAAGCAAGCCCCGGCCGGCAGACCCCTCGATCCTTGGGGGCCCCGCTGTCTCAGACAGTCGGCCACCCCCGGGGGAGCCGCCCAGTTTTTTAGGGGTGGCGGAGGAGTTTGCTGGCTCCCGACCACCCGACCACAGAGCGCCGGCGCGCGGCTGACCTGCGCCGCTGCCAGGAGGAGGAGGAGGAGGAGGAGGAGGAGGAGGAGGAGGAGGAGGAGGAGGAGGAGGAGGAGGAGGAGGAGGAGGAGGAGGGAGGAGGAGGCAGGAGCAGGAGCAGGAGCAGGAGAGAGCAGGAGCAGGAGCAGGAGCAGCAGGAGCAGGAGCAGGAGCAGGAGCAGGAGCAGGAGCAGGAGCAGGAGCAGGAGGAGGAGGAGGAAGGGGAGGAGGAGGAGGAGGAGGAGGAGGAGGAGGGGAGGAGGAGGAGGAGGAGGAGGAGGAGGAGGAGGAGGAGGAGGAGGAGGGAGGAAGAGGAAAGGAGGAGGAGGGAGGGAGGGAGGGAGGGAGGGAGGGAGGGAGGGGCGGAGGAAGAGGGAGGTGGCGTGGGGGAAGGATGCAGGAGGGTGCGGGAGGCAGGAGGGGTGAGAGGGGACGACCAGAGGAAGAAAACAAAAAAGGATAATGAGGGACGAGGAGAGTGGGAGAGAGGGGGGAGGGTACGGCAGGTTCGCTCCGCATTGGCGCGGAGGTGATTCCAGCGCGGGCGTTCAGAGTTGTCCGCCGGCAGTGGCCCGCAATCGGCCGATGTCGAGCAATCCGCGCTTATTACAGAGCCGCGAGCGCCCAAAGCTGAAGGCTCCGCGCGGTGCCAGAAGCCGACGACCACGCCATCGCGACGCGAAACCGCAGCAGGGGGAGTGAGAAGGGAAGGAGGGCTCGTTTCGGCAGGCGGGCCACCTGGGTTCGCCCTCCCCCCCCGCCCGCAACAAGGAGGCCGCGCTCGGGCCAGACCACCAGGACAGCGCCGGCGGCGGCCCGCCCGAGCGCCGCCGCCGCCGCCGCCGCTGCTGCGCGGCCATCCGCTGGATGCGCAGGGCCAGGCCTGGGACGACGGACCCGCGGCCTGGGCGCCGGAGTGGCCTTCGGTGCGGGTCCACAATGGGCGGGTGGCAATGGGGGGTGAAGAAAAAGACCCCCCTAAGGGCAAGGGCCCCTTTTGGGCCCCTGGTGGCTTTTCTTCGTCCCGTGTGTCGGTCCCCCCCCGTTGCCATTCGCCTGGGGTCCCCACAGCACTGGCCGGCGCGCCTGGATCTGGCCTCCCCCCAAAGCCGCGCACCAGAGGTCGCTCTGCCTGGGGGTCGCTCTTGCGTCTGGCTGGCTTGGGGCGCTCTGGGGCGGCCGCGGCGCCCGATGCATCTTGCAGGCCTCGGAGGTGGACAGAGAACCCCAACCCTGCCAAATCGATTGGCGAGTTGCCTTTTTTCAGGAGGAAAAGGAACACACAGACACAATGAATTCTCGATGTTCCAGAAAATATGGGAAAATATGGGAAGTGGGCGGGAAGACAGAAACCCAGAAAATATAGGAAAATATGGGGAATCTTTTGATTTGTGTGTATTTATTTGTGTGTCCTTGGGCCCCTTCACTTTTCCTGTTTTCGAGCGGGTGTTGCGGCTGCAGTCCGTGCGGGAACCCAGTCGCCGGGTCTGGCCCCGGGTCGTTTTCACGAGAAGATGTTCTATTCTGTTAGGCGGTGCTCTGTCCGCGGGCTCTCAGGGATTTCTCGATTCGTTTCGTCCCGACTTTGTCTTCTCTCTGCCTGCGTTTTCTGCAGGCCTCTCCTCGAAGGCTTCCTCGAGGACCGAGGGCCAAGGATTCTGATGGTGTCTGCTTGCTGTGCTGGCCTCTGGGGTGAAAAGCTGGCCCCGAGAAAGAGGCGCGGGGACCCCGAATTTACAAAATCACGACGCGGGAGGTCTGGGTCCTCGTCCTCGTCCGCCTTCCCTGTCCTCCTCCTCCTCCTCCTCCTGCTGCTGCTGCTGCTACTCCTCCTTCTCCTCCTCCTCCTCGTCCCTTGTCCTCCACCCATGTTCCTCGTCATTCTCAATCCATTTTCCTTGCAGGTACCCCATAGTTCACTCTTCAGGTCATCAGGCCGGGTTCGCCTTGAAGTCCGGTCACTATGTCTCCGGAAAAATATTTCCCTGAGAGTCTGTGCACCCGGTAGGGATCCCTGGCAGGGAACACATTTTTCCCGACATGTTGTGCTCGGTATTTGTACTCAATACATCTAGTTGCCCGTGGTCATTTTGGCGAAAGGCTTCTCTTTGTGCCATCCGTCCATCCCTTGCGCACCGTATGGGGGAGTCTGAAAAAAAGGTTTTGTCCTCGCAGCTATCCTCGACGACTCTGTTGCGGTGCTGCTGGCTGGAGTCGAGTTTCAGCCTGCGAGCGCCTCTAAGCCAACAGCTGCCAACAGACAGTGTTCCCAACTTCTGGGGTGGACAAAAGAAGGTATTCGTGGCGTCCTGCGCCCCTCACACGTTTAGAGAGCTCCATCCACGGCCCCAACGGGAAAGTTCGAGTGTGTCCACCCACCCATTTTGGCACGCATACACACATCACACGTGTTGTGCCCTTCAGGTTCTACATCTACGGCCCCAGTGGGAGAGTTTGTCGTGACCCCCCATCCATGTCGACACACCCCTCACACGAATCGTGCATCGAGAGGTTCACCACCAACGTTACATGAAATTCATCGGGATTGGGTCCTTCGCCACGCAAATGTCCGATGTTTATGTTTGCGGATGTATCGCATCCAAACAGGAAATCTGGTTGGATATTTTTTTTTAAGACGCGCTTGATGGGGGCTGGAATGCGAAGAGTCCGTCAGGGAGCCTTCCAGGTCCCCGTGCTCTGTCTACTAAATGCAGGAAGGTCTTACACATTATATACATATATGTGTATATATATACAGAGAGAGAGAGTGATGGGAGTGTGATTAGGTGATTCCGCTTGTGGGCCCGACAGTTTAAAAACGCAGTCAGAGGCCCGTAAAGTTTGGACCTCAAGGCGGGGCCCAACCACTTTGGACTTCGCGGCGGGGGGCTCGCCTGCTTCGCTTGGGCGCTAGCAGAGACCTCGGCCGAGCTGCATCATCTGCGGGACGCCGGGGGCGCCGCTCAGGGTGTGGGGGGGGGGGCGCCACCTTTCAGCTGTATCTGGGGTCACAGAAGGGGCCCGAAACGCTCTTTGGCATGGTTTGAGGGAGAGTGGTCCTGAGGGAAACGGGTCCTGGACCCGAGGTGCTCGCCGGGGCGGGCGCTTCGTCAAGAGCCGTTCTTGCCGGTCCTTGGGCCCCGGGAATGGCCCCATGGGAAGACGAAAACAGCGACAAGAACTGCCCCTCTCGTGTCCTTCCGGACGCCGCTGGCGTCGGCAGCTCGTCCCCGCGCGCGCCTCATCGCGCCCCTGCCCCGACACTCGCCGCACGTTTTGGCCGCGTCCAGGCTGCCTCGGGTAGGTGGCCTCCAGCAGATTCGAGACAGCATCCGTCGTCTCCCCAACCATGGCTGGACAGGCAAGGACCGGCACAAGCATGCATCAGACCAGCCACGACCGCGAGAGCTGCCGTCCTTACCCACCTGGGGGACCCATCCACTCCCACGCCCCGCTCGAGAGATCGTCGATACGCTGGGCTCCCCCTGGGAGGTCAGGAGCACCGCTCCCCCCAGTTGTTAGGATGCAGCTCCTGGGAGGTGAAAGCTTGAATCGGCGCTGGTATGTCCCTGGTCGAAAAGCAGCCCAAATCGCCTCAATCCCGCTGAGCCCAGCTCAATCCCGCTCAATCCGGCCTCATCCCGCCTGAATCCCCGGCCGAGTCTGGCTCCGTGGCCCCTTCATCCGGCCTGATGCGTTGTGCTCGTTCTGGCGAAGACCTCCCAGGAGCTGCCCCCCCCCACAGAGTTGCGGCCAGCCAGGGTCACGACACCCTCGGAGATGGGCGCGGCGCGCACCTCTCGGGCCGGGCCCGCGCCCGCCGCCCGCCGCACCCCCCGGGCGCTGCGTCTGCGGTCGGACGGGTCTTGCGCTGACTCTGGCAGTCCGCGCGTAGCTCCGACGGTTTCTGCTGATGCGGCTGCAGTCGAGACGCGGAGACGAGGACCGCTTTGGGCTCGGAAAGGGCTCGCTGTTCCTTCGGTCATTCCGTGGCTGTTCCTCTAGCCCTCCTCGTGCACCCAGGCGCTGGCGCCTTCGGCGCCAAAAAAGGGGACCTCGTGCCTGATTGGGCGTGCCTTGTTGCAGCAGCCCGACTGTGCTCGGCTCTCTACTGCACCCCCTTTCTGGTCAGGAAAGTTGGCTCAGCGTGTCGCCCCGCCGGTTCTGGCCCACCACGCTTCGGCGCGACACGCCAGCCATGTCCCAGTCGCCAAGCGCCAACGTCCCGAGCTCTTCGAGGCCTCCCGCCCCGCGGAGCGACACGCTATCCGCTTGCAGGGCATTGCGTGTCGCTGGGGCCGCCGCCGAGACACGCTAAGCAACGGTTCCCGACCGTGGCCAAATCCGTACCTCCCTCAACCTTGTGGCCCCCTCCTGCCTCCATATCTGTCGCCTCTGCCCTCGCCTGCACTCCTCGGCTCGTCGCTGCCGCTGCCTCGGCCATCTTCGGCCGTGGCGTATTCCTCGAGTGTAGAGTTACGATATTGTCTCGGCATGCGAGGACACGCTCACCTCCCTGAGCGACCTGGCAAGGCTGTTACGAGCATGACGCCTTGATGTCGTCACCTCGCTTCGAGGGAGAGTTGAGGATTAGATGGAGACGGCAGCCATGGCAGCACTGACAGCAGCCATTGAGGACCAGATGATCGTAACAACGACGGCATCAGCCATGGCGGTGGCCCCTCCGTAGGTACGTCGGCGGAAGCGGCGGCGTGGTCGTGGACGCGGGAGCCATTGCTGTGGAAATGGCGCCAGCAGCAGCACCAGCTGTGGTAGTTGTTCAGCATATTGGTGTCGGAGAGTGCTCTGTCAGTACGGAGTAAGTCCGTACGGAGTGCTCGGTTTCCGTCTGGGCTTACTCCGTCTGATGTTAGCCTCTCCTTATCGGATTCTACGTCCGTGTGGAGTAAGTCCGCACGGAGGTATCGCCCTCCGTCTGAGATTACTCCGTCTGGGCCAGCCTCTCCTGATTTTACTTGATTAGTGGTCTTGACCATCGTGAATGCCAGCAGCCAAGGGAAGGAAGCTAAACGGGAAGCTGCTTCTGGCCCCACTTGACGCGATCAATGTTCCCCAACGTGCCTGGCCTCTGAGTCAAACCGCATTACTGTTGTACCGGCCATGGCTGTTGGACAGGAAGGTACTGATGATGATGATGAGGAGGAGGAGGAGGAGGAGGAGAAGTAGGAGGATGGGGTGGAGTTGTGTAGACTGGAGTTTTGCGCGCTCGCTCCGAAGGTTAACGTATGACAGTTCCTCGTAGGGGCCAGTTCTGCTGCAGCACTGTCGCTGGCTCACTAGATTTTCGCGACCGCATTGTTGGATAATTCTAGCGCTTCTGCTTTCCTCCGTCTCATGATGTGGATCAGCTCCGCTGTGGTGATCTGCAGTGGTTCAGGGTGAGGTGTTCATTTTCTTTGCGTTGTGGGAGAGGAAACCACTTCTCGCCCGCCCCCGTTCCCTCTCGCCTCCCTCCCACCCCTCCCGCTCCACTCCCCCCTCATCTCCCTCCCCCTCCTCCCACTGCCCCCCTGGCATCGCGTGGACGTGTTTTTTTCGGTGGGGGCCATCGAGGAGTGTCTTGGGCCATCTTTCAAACGCACGAAATTGAAACATGCATGGGGAATGGACGTCCGAGCGATGGCTAGCCCCTATCCCTCTCGAGCCCCCCTCTCCCCCCGTCGCTTGGCGTAGCCCGTGAGTGGGACTCCCCAGGATGTTCGCCACATGTAGCCGCACGCCGCGCCCTCCCGTCGTGGTCGTGGTCGTGGTCGTGGTCGTGGTTTTCGTCGTCGTCGCCGTCGCCTCCGTCGCGGAGGCTGCTGCGGGCGGCGGGCAAGATCCAGGAGGCCGAGCCCTTGGCCCGCAGGGCGCTGGAGCCCCTGTACCGCCGCACCGTGGAGAGCCGTGACGCCCCTCAGAGAGAGGCCGTGGATCTGCGAGCGGACCCCAAGAGGAGGAAAGAGGAGGAGGAGGAGGAGGAGGAGGAGGAGGAGGAGGAGGAGGGGGAGGGGGAGGAGGGGGAGGGATGGGGCCCCTTCTTCCACCCTCCCTTCCTCGAAACGCCTGAGCTTGGGTCCCTTGGAGGTCTGGGGGGGCTCCCGCGCTGACCGCCCGCGGCGCGCCTGCGGATCAGGGTACCTGCGGAGTCCGGCTGCAGCAGCAGGAGCAGGAGCAGCAGGGGGAGGAGGGGAGCCCTCGCGTGTTCGGCCTCTGCGAGGCCATCCTCGAGGCTGAGCCCTCCTTGGGGAATGCCTGGCTCTCTCGGGTAGAGTTGCCCAGCGTCGAGGATCGAAGTAATGCATGAGACGCGAATGAGGTCGTAAGGAGGAGGAGGAGGAGGAGGAGGAGGAGGAGGAGGAGGAGGAGAAGAAGAAAGCTGGCGATCTGTAGGTTCGATGGATTCCCCCGCAGGAGGGCGCCAGGCCCCGCTGATTGTCCATGCGTGAGCGCTGCGCAGAGGTGCTGGCCGAGCTCCGCAAACTTGGCAGCGCTGGGGCCCGTGTCGTCGGGGGAGCGCCCTGGTCTCGGCCAGATCTGGGGATCTGGTTGGAACGGAAACCCTCGCGTTCCCCTCTCTCGTTGGAGCTGGAGGGTGCCGCCGCATCGCCGATGCATCGGGGATACAACTCGTTGTGGAGCTGGACTTTCTCCACGCCGTCGGCTCCGATGCATCGCCGATGCGTCTCCGCGTGCCTCCGCTTCTCTTGGTGCACCCAGATGCCGTGGATGGTAGGACACTGGAGCCGGCTGGGGGTCTAAGGTGTCCCAGCACTGCTTCTGGCCAGCAGGAAGGCGAGGGGGGGTGGGGCGGGGTCCGAGGTGCTGGATCCGAGGAGATGTTCTGCCTTCTTCAGTCTGCGGGGGTCGTTTTCGGGCCGCGGGACCGTCCAAGTCGGACCCGGGGTGAACAGCTGCACTAAATGAACCCCGGGAGGGGTCCGGGCACCTGATTTGACCGTCCTCCTCGGGGCCGGTGGAGTTCAGACCCCCCAGCCGCCTCCAACTCTCTCGCCCCTCCGAGCGCTGCCGGCGCTAGAGGCTCATCCCCGCGCGCATGCGTGTCAGGGTTGCATGCCGAGGTGAGGCCACGCTGGGGCCAGAGCACCCCGACACGGCATCCGCGATGATGGACCTGGTCAGGCCCTTAACCGCAGCCATCCTTCGCCAGACGTCAGCATCGCCCAACCGATCCCCATCCCCGTTGTGCCATGGTTTTTCAGCTCTACCAGCCAATCCACCCAGGTGGAGGTAGGCCCCGCGAACTCCGAAGGGAACAGCATATAGCCCGAGCCAGGGGGGCAAGTCGGCCAGTGAGGCCAAGGCCATGCCAGCGGGGATGGGCATCGTTCAAGCGATGCTCAAGACGCCCGTGCGGACGCGCGTGTCCTCGAGCTTCGCGCGCTGCGCGCGCACGCGCGTAGAGGCACCCTGACCTCTGGGCATCGCGAGTCAGCTCATTGCTGTTTGTTTGGTCGGCGGGGGCGGGCACGGGCACACGCGGGGAGCACGGCAGACGCATGCATTGCGCGCATGCGTGAGGCGGCCGCGGACGGGGATCGTGAACAAAAAAATGCCTGGCGACGGGCCAAACCATGTGCAGCTGTGAGCAGCGCAAGACGCGGCACTCTCGTCGTAGGCAGCTCGCGTCCTGGGGCCTTCGGTGGAGCCCCCATGTGGCCAAGGAACGGGTGTGGGGTGTGCACAAATTGGAGCGGGCAGACATGCAGGCTTTGCCACAGGAGCCTTCGGTGAAGGTATTTACACGGCCACGAAACGTGTGCGAGGTGTGCCAAGATGGGCGTGGGCACGCATGCGGGCTTTGCCACTGGGGCCTTCGGTGGAGCTTCCGACGCGGCCGCGAAACGTGTGAGAGGCGTGCCGAAAAGGACCCGAGACGGTGGTGATGATGATGTTGATGATGATGATGAGGAGGAGGATGAGGCTGATGATGACGATGATGGAGGTGATGATGATGCTGCTGCTGATGATGATGCTGATGCTGATGCTGATGCTGATGATGATGATGATGATGATGATGATGATGATGATGATGATGATGATGATGATGATGATGATGATACTGATGCTGATGATGCTGATGATGATGATGATGATGATGAGGAGGAGGAGGAGGAGGGGGATGATGGTGATGTTGATGTTAATGCTGCAGATGATGATGAGGAGGAGGGGGATGATGCTGATGATGATGAGAATGATGCTGGTGATACTGACGATGATGATGATGATGCTGCTGATGATGATGATGATGGTCCTGACGATTCTGATGATGGTGGTGATGATGACGATGATGACGACGATGACGATGACGATGATGGCGGGGTGATGACGACGATGATGCAGATGGTGGTGATGATGATGGTGGGGACACTGCTGTTGATGATGATACTAATGCTGATGATGGTGATGATGATGCTGATGCTGATGTTGAGCAATGATGTTAATGATATTAAGGATAATGATCGTACGACGGTTGTAATAATAGTATGCGTAACACGAAGAATAATAGTAAGAGTAATATTAATATCAATAGTGCGAATGGACATGCTGATGATAATAATGTCAATGCTGATGAGGCGGAGGAGTGTGAGGATTGTGATGAGGTGGAGGAGGATGATGCTGATGCTGATGCTGGTGCTGCTGATGATGATGAGGAGGAGGAGGAGAGGAGGAGGAGGGGGATGATGATGATGATGATGATGATGATGATGATGATGATGATGACGCTGATGCTGATGATGATGATCATAATCGTCATCACCATCATGATGCTGATGATGATTTTCCCGACGATTCTGACGATGGTGGTGATGATGACGATGATGAGGATGATGATGACGATGATGGTGGTGGTTGTGATGGTGACGATGAGATAGTGGTGATGATGAAGATGGTGGTGATGCTGATGGTGATGTTGATGTTGATGGTGATGCTGATGATGATGAGGATGTCGGTGGTCATGATGATGATGCTGATGTTGATGCTAATGATGATAATGATGATTATCAGGCTAAGAACAATCATATTTGTTATTACGATGGTAAAAATGATGATGGTGATGATGATGCTGATGATGATGATGACGATGATCATGATGATGCTGATGATGATGGAGATGATGATGATGATGATGATGATGATGATGATGATGATGATGATGATGATGAGGAGGAGGAGGAGGAGGAGGAGGAGGAGGAGTAGGATGAGGATGAGGATGATGATGGTGGTGGTGGTGATGATGCTGATGATGGACCCATTGTTTTTGTTTAGTGACCGACGCGCCACGCGGCCCCTGTCAGAGGACCAGGCCGCCAAGTTAGGCAAGAGGTAAGAGGTAAGAGGTAAGAGGAGGAGGAGGAGGAAGAGGAGGAAGAGGACCGTTGCACAGCGCTCCCACCTTGAGGGCGAGAACAGGATCCATTATCTGACAAATAGGTGTGCTGACGCTAGGGCGCGAGAGGGAGCCGGACCCTTCGCGGCACCCAAGTGGAAGGTCGATCAAGTTCGGTCGGTCTTCAGGACCCAGTGTCGAATGTTGTCCTTTGTTGCCTCTTTCAGGGTATTCTATCTTACGGAAAAAGTCCCGGGGAGGCTTGTCCAAGGGGGGTTGTCTAGGTGGTGGTGTCTGGATATTTGCGGGGTTGTCCAAGGGTTTTTTCCGGGACGCGTTGTCTTGCCGGCACGTGCAGATATCATTCTCATACATACCATCAGAAGCATGGCACAGCCAGGGAAGCCCAGCTGGGCATGTCGCTTCTCTTTCCCATATTCCCCTACTGTCCGTTCCTCGTCTCTCGTGTCCCCTTTTGCTCCCGTTCGTGCGCCCTCCCTTACCGCGCTTCCCGAAACAGCTGTGCTGACTGGGGTCTTGTTGCGGTAGAAGCTAGTTCTCGCCAAGGGGCTGGCGCTCAGATACATCTGGCAACCTCGGGGGTAGCCTGGCAAGTTTCGCCAGAGACGTCCTCGCAAGTCTGGATTCGGAGATGTCCTGAACTGGGGTGGTCTGGTCAGATTGGCTTGACACATTCTCGCAATTATCCGGAGGTGCTCCAGGCAATTTCACCCAATACATCTTCACAATTCTGGATTATGATATGCCGCGCGAGAGCTGGTCTGGCAAGTTCCGCCTGAGACATCCTCGCAACACTGCGCGCTGACCAAATCTTTTATTAGGTACGTATTGTGGGATTGGTGCTGTCGCCCTCGAGCTGGCCTCATGCCTCATCATTAGGCGTGGTGCTCTCGCCTCAGCGCCGGCCACATCCCTGAGCGGGTACTGAGGTGCCGCTCGAGCGCCAGCTACGCTCACATGCTGGGACGCTCATGGTATGCATTGCATCGTGGAGGGCTTGTCCGGGTTGTTTCCGTGGGGTTGTCCGTGGATTTTCTGTGATCCGATTTTTTTTTCGTGGGACATCGTGGGGTGGAGTGTAGCCAAAGCTGCCACCACGAGCCTGCCCCCTCCCTCGAGTCGGAATTCGGAGGAGAGGCCGTGCGCCCCGCCCAGCAGCTGTCGCGAGGCACCAGCTCAGGCTCTTCGAAGGTGGAGCCTGGAAGTCTGGAAGTGTCGGTGTTAAGTCGGGCCTGTCCCTCTACAGGAGGAACATTCAAACATAGGCAAAAACAGTCAGGGGACGATTTTTTAACCATGCTTGACTATTTTTGGGGATTGGTTGAGTTTTTTTAAATAACAAAAATTCGCCCCAAATCCGCCTGTAGGGGACATGCCCGACCTAATGTCAGTCTTGCTCTCGCCTTGTCCGTGTGGCACCTCGCCTCGGCCTGGCCAGGAGAGAGCCGTACTCAGGCTGGGGGGGAGCCACATCCAGAGGCAGCTCAGGCTCTTTGAAGGTGGATCTTGGAAGTGTCGGTGTTGCTCTCGCCCTGTCCGCGTGGCATCTCTCCGCAGCCTGGCCAGGAGAGAGCTGTGCTCAGGCTGCGGGGGAGCCACATCCAGAGGCAGGGTGCGTTTGAAATCCAGGTCTTTGATCCGGGGCGAATGTGTGCTTCGGATCGAATTCGGGTCGCGGCAGCTGAGAGGGCTAATGCGGCAAGCGGATCCTCGGTGTCGCACCCTACCCCCACCTCGGGAATACGATGTGGTTGAGAGAGTGGGTTATGCTGTGTGCCGTATTTGTGGAGCCTTCGCCAAGTCTCGGGCCCAGAAGATGCTCAGAGAGTGCGAAGGTCCCTTGTTGAAAGGAGTCGTGACCCATAAAAGTCGACGGCTCTATTGAGATATAATCTTCACTAGCTGCAATCCCTACACGGGCAAGCCCGTTCGGGAGGAGGATTAACGAACTGCTTATTTTTCGGCCAGGGTTGTGAGTGGTTTTGCGGCCCGCCCCCCAGAGCCCCCGTGTCAAAGAAGAGGTGGAAGAGGAGGAGGAAGAGGAGGGGGAAGAGGAGGGGGAAGAGGAGGATCAGGAGGAGAGGAGGAGGAGGAGGAGGAGGAGGAGAGGAGGAGGAGGAGGAGAGGAGGAGGAGGAAGAGGAGGAAGAGGAGGGGAAAGAGGAGGATGACGAGGAAGAGGAGGATTTGGAGGAGGAGGAGGAGGACGACGACGACGAAGAGGGGAGGAGGAAGATGACGAGGAGGATGAGGAGGAGGAGGAGCAGGAGGAGGATAAGGAGGAGGAGGAGGAAAAGGAGGAAGAGGACGAGGAAGAGGAGGAGGAGGAAGAGGAGGAGGAGGAGGAAGAGGTGGAGTAGGTGGAGGAGGCGCATGAGGAGCAGGAGGAGCATGAGGAGGAGGAGCAGGAGGAAAAGCATGGGAGGGGGGCACGGGGGGGGGGGGGAGCGAGGAAAGGAAGAGACAGAGCACGAGGGGGATGATGAAAGGGAAGGGTGGACGGTGGGCCCCCCCACCTCGATGCCGCCCCGTGTGCGCTGGCTGGCACTTCTGGCTGCACCGGCAAGATTTGTTGTCTTCGCCTTCCCTTCCTTCTCGCCTGGGTTACACGCTGGGGCGCGAAGGTGGTCGCGCTTCGCGCGTCTTGGGCTGGGCCAAATCGGCCGCCTTTCTCCAAGGGGGGCGGCGCGGGGGCGCGACGGCGCGGAGATAATCGCGCATCGCGGGGCGCGGTGCGCGAAGCTAGGAGGCCCAGGTTTCTCCCCCTCCCCCCATCTCCCCCCCCATACATCTTATAGCTGCTGGCTAGTGTGTCGATCTGATGCCCCCCCCCCGCCCCCCCCCCAGGTCGGTCGACCCTGGGGGAGGGGGGGTGATCAAACCCGGTGGCGAACGAAGGGTGGAAAGTGAGAAGGAGAAGGCCTTCTCAGAAAGCGACAGGACTTCTCAGAAGCCCTCGCGCCTTCTGAGAGGTTTTCTATGTCTTCGGGAAAGGCTTTTCTCAGAAGGCCTGGGGACTTCCGAGCCTTCTGAGAAGGGCCTTTTCCTTTCCACTTCCCCTCCTCGCTCGACGCCGAACCATTGTATAACGTAAGGAACGCGACAAAATGCGGAGGACCCCCGGGTCCGAGGTAGCCAGGTCCCCCAGCACCAGATGAGGGAAGGAGGGAAGGGGAAACGACGAAACGCGGGGGACGACCTTGCGACTCCTCCTCCTCCTCTCTCCTCCGCCTCCTCCTCCCCCTCCTCCTCTCCTCTCCTCCCTCTCCCTCCTCCTCCCTCCTCCCCCTCCCTCCTCCTCCTCCTCCTCCTCCTCCTCCTCCTCCTCCTCCTCCTCCTCCTCCTCCTCCTCCTCCTCCTCTCCTCCTGCTTCTCCTCCTCCTGCTTCTCCCTCTCCTCCTCCTCTTCCTCCTCCACCAGTCCTCTTCCTTATGAAAAACTCCTCCCAGTCGCACCCCGAGCCCAGTCCGAAGGGCGGGCCGGGCGTCAAGCGTGAGACTGCCTTACCACTTACGAGCCTGAAACTTAAAACCTGACAACCGTTTCACGGATGGAGGGCGGATGGTTTTCAACATGTGGTTATCGCTTTAGCGCCGCGCACACTCGCCTTAAAAATTTTGCAGGAGTTTCACGGATGGAGGGCGGATGGTTTTCAACATGTGGCTTCCGCTTTAGCGCCGCGCACACTCGTCTTGGGCATGTTGCAGGAGCTTCACGGATTGAGGGCGGGCCGTTTTCAAAATGTGGTTCTCGCTGTAGCGCCGCGCAGACAAATTCGCAACAACTTCGAATTGAGGGCGGGTGGTTTTCAAAATGTGGCGCTCACCCTGGCGCCGCGCACATTCTTTCGTAAAAAATGCGTGTCGCGGATTGAGGGCTGGTGGTTTTCAACATGTGGCGTTCGCCTCAGCGCCGCGCACATTCGTGTTTAAACACATGCAACAGCTTCACGGATTGAGGGCGGGTGGTTTTCAAGATGTGGCGCTCGCCTCAGCGCCGTGCGCATTCTTATTTAGAACATGCAAGAAATTCGCAAATCGAGGGCGGCTCTTTTTCAAGATGCGGCGTTCGCCTCCGCGCCGCGCACATTTGGTGGAGACTTTCTGAAGAGTTTCATTGGCTCGCATGGTTAACGTACCAGGGATGGCGTTTTGGAGCGATTCAGGATTGTCACGGCGCAGCAGTTACGTTGATTCGCGGCGTTGAAGTTCCAGGAATGGTGTTCCGGCGCGGTTCAGGATCGTCAAGACGCAACAGCCTGGTTGTTTCGCGGAGTTGAAGTCCTGAGATATGGTGTTTGGCACACTTCAGGGTTCGCGCGATTGTCCGCCAACGGGGCAACTCCCTCGGTGGAAATGAACCCTTGTAGGGGCCTATGAAGAGGGAGCTTGGAGGGAGGGTGTATCCCAACATCGTTGATGAGTCTTGGGTTTTCTCTGGCCCCCGCCCCTTTCATCCTCCTCCTCTTCTTCCTCCTCTTCCTCTTCCTCCTCCTCCTCCTCGTCCTCCTCCGTTCCTTTTCCTTATGAATAATCTGTTCCGGAGACTTCCTAAGCATTTATGATCTTGAAAGTGTAAAATTGCAATTCACGGATAAAGGGCGGGTGGTTTTCAACACGTGGTTTTTGCTTTCGCGCCTCGCACACTCGTCTTAAAAGCTTGCAGCCGTTTCACGGATAAAGGGTGGGCCATTTTCAAAATGTGGCTCTCGCATTAGCGCCACGCATATTCGTTTTCAAAGTTTGCAATAGCTTCACGGATGGACGGCGGTTTCTTTTCAAAATGTGGTTCTCGCTTCAGTGTCGCACACATTCATGTCAAGCATTCGCAAAAGCTTCACGGATTGAGGGCAGGTGGTTTTCAAAATGTGGTTCTCGCTTTAGCGCCGCGCACATTCGTTTTCAAAGTTTGCGACAGTTTTCACGGATGGAGGGCGTTTTTTATTCAATATGTGATTCTCGCTTTAGCGCCGCACGCACTAATTTCAAACATTCGCAAGAGGTTCACGGATTGAGGGTGGGTGGTTTTCAACATGTGGCTCTCGCCCTAAATCAGCGCACAGGTGTGTAAACAACTTCGCAAAATCTTCACGGATTGTGGGCTGATGGTTTTTAGTATGTGGTGCTCGCTGTAGTGCCGCGCGCATTCGTTTTAAAGACTTGCAAGAAAGGTTCACGGATCGAGGGTGGGTGGTTTTCAAAATGCGATTCTCGTTGTAGCACCACGCGCGATCGTTTTAAACACATTGCAGGAGTTTCGCGCGTTGAGGACGGGTTGTTTTCAACATGTGGCGCTCGCCTTAGCGCCGCGTACAGCATTCGTTTCGAACGCTGCAGAGGTTTCACGGATTGAAGGCAGTTATGTTTCAAAATGCGGCTATCGCTAGTGCGCCGCACACATTTGTCTTAAACTTTCTTTAGAGGTTCGTTGATTCGCATAGTTAACGTGCCAGGGACAGTGTACTACAGCGGCTCAGTATTGTCAGGGCGCAACAGTTACGTTGATTCGCGGTGTGAAAGTCCCAGGAGTCGTGTTCTGGCACGATTCCTGAGAATGGTGTTCTGGCGCGCCTCAGAATTTTCACATGGTTGCCCCCCAACGGGGTAATTCCCTCAGTGGAAGTGGCCCTTTGCAGGGGCCTACGGAGAGGGAGCTTGGAGGGAGGGTGTATTCCAACATCGTTGATGACTCTTGGGTGTTGTTTGGCCCCCTTTTTTCCTCCTCCTCGTCCTTCTCCTCCACCTTCTCCTCCTCGTCCGTTCCTTTTCCTTATGAGCAACCCTTCCCTGTTACACCCCAAGGTTCATCGAAAGGGCGGGCCGGGCGTTTCGCTCGATATTTCCCTACCGCTTATGATCTTGGAATTGCAAAGCTACAAGAGCTTCACGGACGGAGGGCGGGTTGTTCAACATGTGGCTCTCGCTCTAGCGCCGCGCACATTTGGTTTCAACGTTTGTAACAGTTTCACGGATGGAGGGCGGTTCCTTTTCAAAATGACGTTCTCGTTGTAGCGCCACACACATTTCTTTCAAACGTCCGAAAGAGTTTCGCGGATGGAGGGCGGTTCCTTTTCAACATGCGTCTCTCGCTTTAGCGCCGCGCACATTCGCTTTGAGAGCGTACAGCAGTTTAAAGGCTTCTCATGGTTAACATCCCAGAATCGTGTTGTGGCGCCATGTCGGATCGTCAGGGCGCGGCAGCTACGTTGATTAGCCGTGTTGAAATCCCAGAATTGGTGTTATGCCGCGGTTCCGGATCGTCAACAAACAATAGGCAATTTCATTCGCAGCGTTGAAGTCCCAGGAATGATGTTCTGGCATTGCTGATGACTTGTCAAGCGGTTGTCTTCCAATGGGGCATTTCTCTCAGTGACAATACATTTTTGTAGGGGCATATGAAGAGGGATCTCGGAGAGAGGATTGATTGTATTATGTTGATGAATTCAAGTTGTGCACTCGTCCTCCTCCTTTTCCTCCGCCGCCTCTTCCTCCCCCTCCTCTTCCTCCTCCTCCCCCTCCTCTTCCCCCCCTCTTTCACCTCCCTTCCCATCCCCCCCTCGCTGCTGAGGCCGAGCTCCTCGTGACCGCGGGCAAGCCTGAGGAGGCGGAGACGTTCTACCGCAGGACACACGCCTGGCCCCGTCGGGGGCCCTCCGTCTCCTCCTCCTCCTCCTCCTCCTCCTCCTCCTCCTCCGCCCCCTCCCCCTCCACAATTACACAAAATGAAAATACTTTCCCACTTCCCCTGATGGCGCCCCGAAGATATCCGACACCCCCCCGCGTATTGTTTTTTACACACAGCTTTCGCTTGTGTTTTTTTCAAAATGCTGCTCTCGCCGAGGCGCCGGCCTCATTTTCGGGCCCCGCTCGTTCCGAATCGTGCTCCCGCTGCAGCGCTGGCCTCATTTCCGTGCTTCCGCTCGTTCCGAATCGTGCTCCCGCTGCAGCGCTGGCCTCATTTCCGCGTTTCCGCCCGTTTCGGCTCGTGCTCCCGCTGCAGCGCTGGCGTCATTTCCCGTGCCATGCCACAGCACACGCGCACACACGCACACACACACACAACCACCACCACCACCACCACCACCACCACCACCACCACCACCACAACCACGCACGCACGCACGCACGCACGCACGCGCACCACCACCCACTAGTCCGCGGATAGAGAAAATCAGCGCCATGGTAAGGGATGGGAGGGAAGGGTAGGACGTCAGATATGACGCGCGCGCACCTAGCTTGCCCTCCCCCCTCTCTCCCCTCCCCCTCCTCCTCCTCCTCCTCCTCCTCCTCGTCCCCCTCCCGTAGCCATTTTGGCTCAAGATGGCACGCCATCGCGAGCGCAGCGTGGATACCGCTAGTCCGCGGCCAGTTCCCACCATTTTGCAGCCACACCAAGGGACGAGCAGCCGTCCACTCCTGCTGTTTGCCCTGGCCGTGCAGGCCGCCACACATATCGCTTGGAGCTTTGTGCCGAGCATCCATCTCGTCTCGCGCCCCGTGCCGGGCATCCATACTCCTGCATCGAGCCCCGCGCCGTGCATCCATATCGCTTCATCGTGTACCGCTCCGTTCCAGTCCAGAAGAGTGAGTCAAGTACGCAGTGGTTTCGTAGAGGACCTGGCCAGTGGCGATTCGTCGAACAGCATCCTCACCCCAGTTGCCTGTATTACAAGATCATGTCCGCCGCCTCCTCCGATATGGACGACCTATCCAACGGCTCCACGTCCCGCAGCCGCCGAGAGGACCGACGCCATCGTCGAGAAGATCCTTGCCGTGACGAACGTCGTCATGAGGACCGCCAGCATCGCAGAGACGAATCCCGCAGAGATGGCGGACGTGCTGCTCGCGAGTTCCTCGAACACAACGGTCACACAGGATTCGCCTGTCAAGGCCCTGCAGGTGCTCCCCAACCGCAACCACGTGTTGCAGGACGGAGTACTGCACGCCTACCACTGACCCCTTCCCGCAGGACAGCCAGGTCAGAAGGAAGTGCCGCGCCCGAAACACCCGCCGTGGCCATGGAAGCGGACACTAAGGCATCACCTGGTCATGCTATGCATTCTCCCACTTCAGGCGCCACCGACCCATGGGCCAACCCTCGTTATGCCGAGCAACAGCTGGGCCCCGCAGCCGCCGCACAACTTGCACGGGACATCGAACTGGCTCCCACCTTTGCATCTCAATTTGACGCAGTACCAGCCACTCCAGTCGCTGCCCACGCTACATTGGAGCCGAACACCCACATCATTCACAACCAGAACGACATGGACCACTTCCTGGGATACCCGAAAACCTGGACGTCGCTCTACGTGAACGCATACAACGCCAAGTTTCAACTACCGCTTCCCGCTTTCAAGCGCAAGCTGTTCAGCCTCTCGCTGAATATCGTGAAAGTGCGTGCCATCTCGCACAGCAACAAGTTACTGCCACTGAGCGCCAAGTCAATGCACTTCGGGACGAAGCCGCCCGCACTCGCAGAGAACGAGACCGCCAAGCTGCTGAACATCAGCGCATGTGGCAACACATCGACCAGATGCGCGACACCCTGGCCTTCGCCGATGCGCGGACTCCGATCGCGGACCTCAACCGCCTCGCCGAGCGGGACCGCCAGCCTGATCCTACACTCTTCTCCGTGGGCTGCCAGCGCCCCATCGCACCGACCGTTTTGCACGGCGACCTCCAGGAGTGGATCGCAGAAGCCAATCTACAATCAAGCCATGTGGAGCGACTGGGAGATGGCGAACCTGCCCGACGCTTCGTACTTCAAGGCAAAGGAGATACCGCCGTCGCAGTGCCCCGAGCCATGGCTCTCCCGCGCGCAGTGCGCAACGCTGCTGGGCAATGGAAGCGTTTTACCTCTACCGATGCCGCGGGCCAGCCAGTCGACATCTAGATCAATATTGACAAGTCCCTCAAGTAGACCAGAACGGAAGTCCAGACCAAGAAGCTCCTTCAATTCATGCAGCACCGCGATCCCCAGCACCGATGGAGAGCCTTCCGCACCAAAGGAGACATACACTGCGACTCCATGCCTATCGCCAAGATCATCATCCGCGGCCAGAACGGCCCCTCCATCTTCCAGTGGAACGAGCAAGCCTTCGATCACCAACAGTGCCAGTCCATCGACCGTGGCAACATCCTCACCTCCTTCCAGGCGCTCTTCGCTGACGCGGAGGCAGCTACGTGGCGTTCCTAACACCATCGCTGGGCCCCCTGGCGTTTTGACGCCGCCACGGAGCCGACCACTATCGTCGCGTGGAAAGCGCGAGCTCTCATGAGTTACAAGGGCAGGCGCCGCCGTCGCAGACAATCTGACCTCACTGAGTACATGAAACGCAAGTGCGTGATCATGTTCCAGGGGGCTCATGGCTCTGAAGCTCTGCTCCGCACCTGGGTCGACACGCAGCCGCGCCCCTGTAAGGTCTACTTCTCGGCGTTCCCCGGCTTCGAGGGCGACGACGCCGCGGGAGGAGTCGCCCCGCTTGCCCCGTGGCTCTCGCCGATGGAGCTGGAACAGCTCCTGCCGCATCAGCCCCCGCTCTTCGATCACGTTGCAATTGTTCGTGTGCGCGCCCAGCAGCTCGCGATCGCGCCCGCCATCGCGCGCGTCACCACGGTTATCATGAGCGTCCACAACCACGATATCGCGGTCGACGACCGCCGCAAGATCCAGCAGGCATGGGAGATCAATCGCGCGAGGGTGGAGGCGAACTACCGCGCGCACATTCATTGCGACCGGGGACTTCAATGTTGCCAGCCGCCCATCGCAGAGCTTCTTCTCACCGCGACCGCGGGAGGCGCGCCTTGGCCTCGATGGCGGCATGCGCCAGCAGCAGCCGCTCTGGAGGGCCCTTTTTGATTCTATGCTCGAGATCGAGACCGACCTTCCGACGCGCTTCAACCGCTCGGACTACACTGCCCTCACCATCGACCGCATCTTCATCAGCCTCCCCCTCGCGCCACGACAGCTCACCATCAACGCGAAGGTCGCATGCGATGCGACACTACTCTCGGGCGACCGCCTCAGTGGCCGCGCGACCATCTCCCTCTCCATTGGGATCAAACCACGCACCCCGCTCATCGACCAGGCCATCCACCCGTCGATCTTCCGCGACCCAAACTACTCCGTCTACTTTCAGCAGCTGCTCAATGCCGCGAAGACCGACCGCGTCTCCATAGACAGCCGATGACGCACTCATAAGATGTTCATGGTTGAAGCGGCGCAGTTGGCACGTGATGATTGGGTTCGGAAGACCACCGGTGACGCTAACAAGACGGGCCTTCTTGCTGGGTGCGCCCTCGCTGCCCGCTCCATATCCAGAGCCATCTGGCGCCAAGATCTTCATCTCGCTCGCCGCGTCGCCACCGCCGCCGCCCTGGGCGCCAAGTGCCTCTTGGTCGACAATGGCACTATCACGCTCCGCGACCCCGTCGCCTTTGCCACCCAGGCCGCGCAGCTGCGCCGCGACCTCGAGGCCAGGCAACTCTCTCTTGCCCAGCAGACAGCTCTGCGCCCCCCGGGGGCAAGGAGGGGCGTTGCCACCAGAGAAGCTTCGATCCATCACGCGGCCCCCCCAACGTCGGGCCCTCCTGTGGGCCCCCTGGAAACGCCGTCTCGTCATCCAGGGAATCAAGGTCTCAGGCCGTGATGGGCCTCAGACCGCTAGAGAGAGTAGCTCCATTGTTGCTGCTCTGCGCGCACACTGGCAGCCCATCTTCGAGGCGAAGCACACCGACATTGCCAAGGTCATCGGCTACATCCACACGCACATGCCGAAAGGCGACATCCTCGACATCGGGGCGCCCGCCAAGCCGCAGACCAAGGCCTTCCTGCGCAGGACTTCACCCTCGGCACCAGGACCTCACTCGCTGCCGTGTTCCGCCTGGCTCGCGCACGACGCCTCGCTCGACCTGCTCGAGGACCAATCCTTGTTCCTTTGCTCGGGCCAGCACTGCATCCGCGATCTGAACGACTCCGACTTCGCCTTCCTGTCGATGGGCGATAACGCACAGGGCGAGCTCACCACTGACAGGGTGCCCGAGGATACACGCGCCCCCTCTCGCTGAAGAACGCGGACATCAAAGCTATCGCTGGCGCCGCTAACTACATGCTCCAGGGCGTTGTGGCAGAGCGCGCGCACTCCGCCCAGTAGGGCTTCGTCCAGGGTCGCAACTTCACGTAGCACGTCGTCCGCCTCGACGCCAAGATGCGCCGTGCTGGATGGCTGCCAGACGCTCTTGAATCCAAACCCGTCTTCGCCAGCTTTGACTTCTCAGCGGCCTCCCCGTCCTTGGGGCGGGGCGGGCTCCTTATCGCGCTCGAGCACTTTGGCCTCCCGCAGGGCATCCCCAACCTCTTCCAAGCCATGTGCTTCGCGCCCTCCAGCTACATTAAGATCGACGGCGCGCGCCGCGACGCGCTCGCGACAGGCTCTGGAATGGCGCAAGGCTGCTCTGCATCGGGCTCTGCGTGGGCGGTAGCCATGGACCGGATCATCCGTCATCTTGCGTCGTTTCTGGAAGACTCGAACGGCGGTCCGGTCTTCGACAATGGCTACGTGTGCGCATGCGCTGACGACATTGGCCTGCTGACGCACTCGTTCGACACGCTGCGCCAAGTGACC